CTCTCAAACAGTCCAAACGCTGTGGCGCCTTTTCGGCAGAGCGGAGATAGATCTTTTCGCGTCAGAAGAGAACGCTCACTGCCCAATATTCTTTTCAAAGAGCGAGGACGCGCTAGCCCAGGATTGGCCCCGCCGCCCGCTCTATGCTTTTCCCCCGATTTCTCTGCTACCGCAGGTCATTCAGAGAATCAGGGACTCACGCCACACGGTGCTCCTCATAGCCCGCGCTGGGAGAATCAGATTTGGTTCCCGAGCTAACGCGGCTGTCACAGACAGCCCCGTGGCCCATTCCAATCAGAGCAGATCTCCTCACTCAAGCCCGCGGCTCGATCTGGCATCCCCATCCACAGCGCTGGGCGCTTCATGCATGGGTGACCAACGACTACGCGTCGAATTGCCAGAAGGGGTTTTGAACACGATCAATCACGCCAGAGCGGATTCTACCAGAAAGCTCTATGCTGCATAATGGTCTGTGTTCTCCAAATGGTGCACCGACAAAAATTTGGACCCACGGACGTGCGAGGTTTCGTCTTTGCTAGTGTTCCTTTAGGAGATGCTGGATAAGGGCAGGTCCCCATCCACTCTTAAGGTTTACGTGGCAGCCGTCGCGGCGTTCGTTGAACCCCGGCGCGCCCAGTCTCTGGGCAAAGACGAGCCTAATCATCCGCTTCCTCAGGGGAGCCAGAAGGATGAACCCCCTCGCCCCCCTACGGTGCCGGTCTGGGATCTTTCTATAGTTCTAGAAGCTCTGAAAGCCCCACCGTTTGAACCACTTGAGTCCGTGGAGCTAAAATACCTCTCGTTAAAAACCGTTCTTCTGACGGCACTCGCCTCAGTAAAACGTGTGGGGGACATTCACGCGCTGTCTTCGAGCGCCGCGTGCCTAGAGTTTGGACCCAATGACTCCATAGTCATTCTAAAGCCTAGACACGGTTATGTTCCAAAGCGATTGGGTACCCTTTCAGGGCGCAAGTGATCTCTCTATCGGCGCTGGCCTGCATCCGATAGCGAACGTGATGCTGACCGCCTCTGCCCGGTTCGGGCTATCAGAGTGTACAACTACACGCGTTTGCCGCGTTCAGACGCTCGGAGCAGCTGTTTGTGTCGTTCGGTGGCCGCACCAAGGGACTAGCCGCCTCGAAACAGACCCTATCCAGGTGGATAGTAGACGCGATTGCCTCTGCTTATGCCGCTAAAGACCTGCCTTGCCCTCTGGGCATCAGGGCTCATTCCACCAGAGGCATGGCCTCATCGTGGGCATGGTCCTGCGGGATTTCCATTCACGACATTTGTGTGGCTGCGGGATGGGCCTCCCCCTCCACTTTTGTCAGATTTTATAACTTGGAAGTTCCAGCCTTACAGGCTAAAATTCTGGCGGTCTAGTACTCACAGCCCTCCTATAGAAGCCGCACTATCGGGAGTTCCATCACAACCGGCTCACCCCTTGTGTTCCCCTATGTGCTTATGCATTAGCCTACACATCACGGCCCGCTTCGCCGGCCGCCTTTTGGCGTTTTTGCACTAGATGATAACGGCCGCTATGCTGGCCGCCGTATTATCTTCATCCACTTATAGATTCCCCCGGTGTTTTCCCCCTGGGATGCTTAGTGGTTACTTAGCGCGCACGGCGTTGACCAGGTGTTCCCGTAGCGTAAGCTAGCTTACGCAATACGAGAGAACCTCTCGTAAGAGAACGAATCGGTTACCTAACGTAACCTCGGTTCTCTCTAGATGAGGGAACGAGTATTGCGTTCCCGGCCGTGCTTGCGCCACTAGCGTTTCGCTTCATGCTACAGAATCAACGAACGAGCTGGGAGAGCGACCTTTATACACTGTAGCCACGCCCCTTTTGGCGGGCTGTGACGCAGTGAGCGAGCGCCGTCCGCTCATTGGCCGCGGACTCAGCGCCGCTCTCCCATAGGTTCGTGCATTCTCTCTGAGCGAACCAATGAGCCGCTAGCTAGCCCGCTCATGGTCTGCCTCAGAAGAGACTGCGTTGACAATGATTACAAAATTATGGAATAATTTTTCGGCTTCAACTTCTCAGCAAAGATGAATCTTTCCCGTAGCGTAAGCTAGCTTACGCAATACTCGTTCCCTCATCTAGAGAGAACCGAGGTTACGTTAGGTAACCGATTCGTTTTCATCTTGTGAAATGGTCTATACGTCCTTGTTGATACTTTGAAAGGAACTTTCTGTACGTCAGCCAGTTATGGGTTATGTGCTCTTATTCTCTCCTTTTCAGTCCGGCTGCCGACACCAGTCGTCCTCTTCTTTTTTTTTTTTTTTTACAGATCTGCACGATTCACGTAGGTCACATTTTCAGGTCGGAAAATCCGGATTAATCCGGAAAAATCACATTCCTGACATATGCGCCGTGCTTTCAGTTTCGGTTTTCAATTCGATCAAGTGTTTATGTTCTCTTCTCTATATTGGATTATGAAATTAATAAGCCTCCCCTTTCAATCAGATTGAAATTTAGGATCGAATAAGGTGCGATTGAGCAGCCTATTCGATAACTAATGTATTATTTGGGCACAATATATACACAATACACTTTCTCCTCGACAGATTAGTCAATGTTACAGTCTTAGGCTACTTAATTTTTTTGTCATTGCTTGGTTGTGTACTTAATTTATTATATAGCAACTTAGGTAAAAAAGTTAAACAAGGTCTTTGATGAATAGCAGCTATTGACTACTTTACTCGCAGCTATTGTGAAGGAAGGTGCTAAAAACAAGGTTTGTAAGTTAATTCTTTATAACCTATAAATTCAGTAAGAATATAGAGATAATGATTGTAAGAAAATATTGAGGAAAATATTGCTCTCTGTAAGATTTTCTATAGCTTTCTTTTTTTATATAAACAATTAATTAGCTAAAATTGTGATTTTGCTATGTGGATAAGATTGTACAGAGAATTAAAATTAATTTATACAGCTAGACACATAAATTGTACACATAAGTTGCTGTTTTTTTTTAAGTTACAAACCTGTTCACCTGGAGAAAAACTCGATGAAGTGTTACTACAAGACATCCTGACCTGTCATAGCATTTTTGGTACATAACGGCAACCGTAGATGCAATACGCACTTGAAAAAGCGAGGCGCTGGAGAGCAAAATTCGTTTGAATGCAAAATGCTATTTAACCACTAGATGGGGGTAATTCCTACACAGAGTCCCTTTAAGGTGTGAAAGAGCCTTTACATCTGCCTGAAACAGAACTCTTTATTTTTGATAAATGAAAATGATAAATGAAAATGTACTTTTAAAAGGTAACTTTCCTCAACACTGCTGACAGTTCTTTTAAATCGAAATATTATTTCACAATATTACCAGTTTTAATGTATTTTTGATCATATGAAGCAATAAGTTGGTGAGCATAAGAGACTTAAAAAATGTCCTTTTTATATCAAACTTTTGGTCTGAATAAGGGAACAAACTAATCAGTTTCTTGGCAAGACAAATCCATCCAGACACACATTACAGTAAAAAAGAGATTCGACACCCTCTAGTGGTTCACTCCACTCTAAAACATGTCGGATGAATAAAATCATGCTCTGATATCTTTAATATTAATATTCATTATATATGGCATGAACATCTGAGTTTGTCCTGAACTTTATCCACATTGTGTGTCAGGGTTATGAAATAGTTACAGAACTAACCTGAACACATTTCCTTACTGTACAAACAAATGCAATAAATACTAAATATGCAATTGAATATGATGTAAGATTTATGTAGCGCATTAAAGTGCAGTTATTGCTCCATTCTCACTTCAGTAATTATGTCCCTAGAGAGTGTTGAAGCTTCAGTCATCATTGAGTGTGTTAGTTTAAGAATGGCAGGGCCAGTTTGGGCTGGAACGTTCACAGAGAGCTTTCTGGAAGACAGTTTCACTTCTCCACTAAATGAAAGGGAAGAGTCTCTTCTTCAGGATGTAGAGCACTGTGGCCAGAAACAGAGCGAGAGCTAAGAAGATCAGCAGTTTGTCCGTCAGCTCACGCCGATTATATTTCAGGATAAGTTTCCGCCCCGAATGAATGGTTCCCGTCATGGCCTTAAACTCTTCATTTGTCTCTTGTACCGTCCTCGATGATGTCGCTGGAAACAGATAAAATTAAATACATTTAGTGATGGAGGTAAAGTAATGTCCCTCCAGAAGGTTAAAAGGACATCGTGACGTGGCCTCTGTTGTTGGGAAATGTTACTTTCCCACTCGTACTTGTTCAGTTTGGACTGGCGGGTCACGTGATCATCAATCATCAGCTTGTTTTGGTCATTTGGAGACTTACAGAAGAGCAGATGTAGACAGGCGGCTGTCGAGAAGCAACGTCTTCCATGTTGTTAAAGTTTTAGAATCAAATGTAACTATTTACTTTAGGGCTGTCAGGCGATTAATCATGATTAATCACATCCAAAATAAAAGTTTGTGTGTACATAATATATGAGGGTGCACAGTGTACAATTATTTTGTATATATAAATACACACACACACACACATATATATATATATATATATATGTATTTAAGATACTATTTAAGATATATATATATATATATATAATTTGTATTATATATAAATATTTTATATATAAATAACACATTTTTCTTAATATATATATATATATATCTTAAATATTATCTTAAATACATATTTATATATATATATATATATATGTGTGTGTGTGTATGTATTTATATATACAAAATAATTATATACAGTTCACACACATACAAACAAACTTTTATTTTGGATGCGATTAATCGCTTCACAGCAATACATACATATAATTTCATCTTCACAAAGCCAGAAACATTTACTGTAATCCTAATTGTAGAATGTCCTCCTCTGATATAAAGTCCCGTTTTACTTCCTTTAAGGGCGTTTTCACACCTGAAAGTTCACGTTTTGATACATTTTATACTTTCAGAAAGTGTTGGTCTCACAATGCAATTATGCGAGCGCACTGAAGAACTTCCCGTGACATACTTGCGTCCTGTCGTCATCATCTATGTGGGCTGCATCCTGACATTGATTGGTTCAGTATGGACGTCTGCGTGTTGTCAATTAGGCGGGTAACTTTGACAACATGAACGAACAGACGCATATTTTTATGGCATATTTACCTGCAGCACAACTATACACAAGGCTAGTTCAAATTCGCCAAATGAACGTCCTCGTCGTGGGAACATTTTATCATCGCCGGCAGGAGAGGAGGAGAAGACAGCAAGTTGACTTCTTATTATGTCATCAAACCTCGTCTCCTCCTCTCCCCATGTGATACCACGGCTCATTTCTCCTGCCACCTTCTGTTTTTTCGGCTATGTGGGAAGCACCGGGACTTCCTGTAAAAGGTCTGAAAGTCCGAACCATACAGAAATGCTTTCACACTAGAAACGAACCAAACCTTTGTTCAGTTTGAACCGGAGCGAGACTACCTCTTTTTGTGGGACCAAATTTCTGAAACCGAAACTTTTGATTCGGACCAAACAAGGTAAGAAAGGTAACAAACGGCCCAAAGAAAATGTCAAAACCTTTGAACACAAAATCTTCGAAAACATGCATGACATTCATGATGACCAAATATTATGTTGTGATTTGTGTAATTCTTATATCCACTTGTGATGTTTGTACGCCCACCTTATTTCTTACTGCTAATATCTGTATCCTTTCGTTTGCAAAAAAAAAAAAAAAAAAAAAAAAGCTTAAAGACTAAACATATAATACGCATTTGAATGATGTCACAGTTTTCACAGATGATAAGCATGTCGTTTGTGGCGTTGTCGTGTAAATTAAAGGTATAGCGGAGGATTTTCTTTTTCCGGGTGGGTAGTCTATACTATTGGTCCACCTAAGTGTCAATCATTCTGGTGATATGTTTACATAAGGCCGTCGTAGGCTACGTGCTCATCCCTATGTAGTTTTCACTTTCAGGTGTATTATGTCAGAGTTACGGTTTCAGCCATTCCTTTGAAAATGGCTGAGGGTCGAAAGAGAAAAAATGTTTACGAAGTGTATGATAAGAAGAGAAAGGCCACAGAATATAGAAACAAGACCAGAGTGATTTTGGGTGAATATCACACGCTGGCGTGCGCTAAAAGCACAGGTTGGGCTTCTCACTGATGCCGCAGTCGCGAAGATTCTACCAGACAGGTAAAGTTTGTCACGCTATTTGGAGAAATCCATTTAAAATCACTAGTAAAAGTTAATGCAAGCTACAATGCTAGCCCTGGCACGAGTCATGCACCGCATAGACACGGTAAACATCTCAATTTGTCTAAAGTAGCCTTTTGACCAAAATGGTAAATGGTATCACGCTGAAATATTCTAAAACCTTGTGTGTTTATTATTACACAAATGCAACAAGCTACTTCTCCATATGCAACTATGTTTAAAAATAACGTATTAACAATGAGAGATATTAGGTTAAGGACCAACGTAATAGCACTGCTTATATGTTGCTATGTAACGTAATTGCGATTTGCAAAATAGTTTCCTCAGAACGTATTTCGTGTGATACAGGGTTGCACATATCATGTCTTGAGTCCTCGGTCACTCAATCGATCAGTATAATAAGTAAATAAAACACGGAAGGGCATTTGACATGTTGTCTTTTTTATGAATATTTTTGAGTTAGTTTAGAATTTGCAACATAATTGTGCAAGGCGTAATAGACGTTCCCTCTCGGGAGCAAGAGTGTTGTGTTTCTGCATGTGCATTTTTTTTAAAAATTGGAGAGGGCGGGTCTTCTCTAAAATTCGGAAAGATCCTCCGCTATACCTTTAATGCCCAAAACGTCTTCCGTTTTTAGTTGAAAACCATGCCGTGTAAACGGCCCCTGAGACTAATGATATTTCTCAGACGTGTTAATCATTTCTTTAGGTGTAAAACCTTGTTAATCAGCAATAGCAATAAATCACTCGCATACGAGTGAAACTCGAGTGCAAAAGTTCATTTATTTCAGTAATTCAACTTAAAAGGTGAAACTAATATATTATAGACTCATTACATGCAAAGTGAGATATTTCAAACCTTTATTTGATATAATTCTGATGATTATGGCTTAAAGCTTATGAAAACCCCAAATTCAAAATTAGAATATTCTGAAAAGTTTTTCATATCTGTAATCCATAATCATGATTATAACAAATAAAGGCTTGAAATATCTCACTTTGCATGTAATGAGTCTATATACTATATTAATTTCACCTTGTAAGTTGAATTACTGAAATAAATTAACTTTTGCAACATATTCTAGTTTTTTCGAGTTTCACCTGTATGACAATTTGCAAAATTTCTACTAATTTGTGCGTGAACTATTCCTTTAACAGATGGACATTTTGATATCATGATGGTGATAGGATTATTGTATTTTTTTTACCCAGACTCCCGATGGTCTCCTCGCTCTGCTGCACCTGCTGTGACATCATCCGACTGATGCTCATCAGACTCTCGGTGATGTCACTGGACGTCTGCACCAAACTCTCTTTGGTGGCCTTCCTGAACCAGGAACAACACGTGGATTGAGGAAACATGGATAAAAGAGCAGTGTCGAGGAGTTAAAAAAGCTTAATGCTACATACAATTTTATTTTATTTGTCGATCTTGATTCTGATTGGCTGAAATAGCAGCGTGATTTACCTTTGTCTCACTGATTCGCCTCCTTGAAGCAGTTCATCCTTCTCCAGGTGATCGATGGCCAGCTTACAGGCCAGATTCGCCTTCCTCCAGGCCATCTGGTTACTGAGACATGATGAGAGTAATGATCATGCGGAGTTTAAATCTGACATTCAATACATAATCAGAAAAAAAGATAGGGTGATAAAAAAAAAATGTTTCACTAACCTTAACATCTGCTTCCGGTGGCTTTGCGTTTCACTCAAGAGAGCTTGCTTATCAGTCTCTCGGTCTTGTTCTTTGGCCATCTGTTCCATGTCCTGTCAAAAAAACGTTTCGTTTTGCTTAAATCTGCCATGTTCACAAATCCAATATATACTCAGATTTTCTTTTTTAAATGCAAGTTTATTGAATTTTTAAGCAAATTATAATAGAATTTAAAAAGAGAAAGTTTCTCTCCTCATACTTCCATCTCTCCTTTCCTTCGTAGTAAAGGTTTATATTGTTAGAAGAGATTTCTATGTTGGGTTATCACATGAAAAAAGCATCACTCACATGATTTAACTGTTTCCATCATTGATAATAACGGAGTATCAAATAATCAAATCAGAAAGATTTCTGAAGGATAATGTGACACTGAAGACTGGAGTATTGATGCTGGAAATTCAGCTTTGCATCACTGAAATACATTTTATTTTAAAGTATATTCAAATTGTAATAATATTTCACAATATACATTTTTTTTTCTGGTTTTTATTTTGGTCATAATAAATGCAGCCTTGGTGAGCAGAAAAAATAGTAATGTTTCCAAACTTTTGACTGGTCCTGCAAATACCTGTAAAATTTCAAATATCCAATTATAATCATTATACAATTACGATGGATATCACAAAAATGTTGCCATAATAACAATAGTTTCAGCCATAACAGTTACAAAAGAACCACAGCAACATGACATTATCCACAACATTAAAAACATAATAATAATAATAATAAAGCTAGACTAAATAAATGTAGGTATAAAAACTTGTATTATAGTTGCATTAAAAAAGTTAGTTATTTAAATAAATAAATAAATAAATATACTGACAGAAAGACGAAAGTAACGTTGATTCTGAAAGCCGCTTGTATTTTGAATATCATTATTCTCGTAGTTTGGCCCTGTTACTGTTGCCCTGACATTTATATTACTTGTTGAATGTAACGTTACCTGAATCCTCAGTCTTAACTGGTTGAACTTCTCCTTGACAGTGGAGTTGAGCTCCAGGAGCACCGCCTGTGGCCCACAGCATTCTCGTATATCCTGACACGAGAAAAACAAACAATTTACTGTTTCCAGATCCATGCTGACTGACAAAGCCATGGCGATTATATGGCCACATCTTTGTATTTACAGTTAGTTTTTGTCGGACGAACTTGACAGCAAAACCCTGGCTGATATGATAATATGAAGTCTAACGTTACCTGAACAAGAGCTTTAATTTCCAGATCGTATTTTACAATCTCTTGCCCACATATTCGGACGTGTACATCAGCAGAGGACGCCATCTTTGTTGTTATACGGTACGTCAGAAGGTCCAGGCGTTAACGCATTTTCATAACGCCCTTTTTCTTGATGGGCCCTGCAAAACTGTCCTGGGAACAGAGAGGAATGCGGTGCATACATGATACTTAATAATACGATTTCCCTAAAAACAAATGCCGTGTGTATTTATATAGGGTTTATTACATTGAGAAAAAAGTTTTTTTTTTGTTCGTTTTTTTATGCTCCTTTCTACTTTCTACTGGAGTAATGGCTCACAAGAATACAATAAATTGCATTTTAAGATGCAAAGTTTAGCCAACTTGCCAAATGTAATGTATATTATTTATTTAAAATGAGCTAGTTTGGATTGTTTGGGAGTTCTTAACATTCAAACATACTGGGAAAGATAACCGAACCCTACATAACTACTGGGAGAGTAGCAGGGGAAAGTTTGTGGTTTCGTTTTGACTGAGAAATGCATGACTGTTGCCAGAAGTGACAGGCATCCAAGAATAGAGCGAGGAAGAAAAGAAAGGAAGAACAGAATGAGACAGTTGGATATTGGGACAGTTCTAATGTTGTCAACCTTATATTTATGAAGAGAGTATTTATCTACAGCTTGCACAATTTAAATCTGTGTGACTGAATTAAGAAATATATTGCGGTTTAGAGAAAATGCTTAGCATTTATTAAATGGATAGTTTACCCCAAACTGAAAACTCTGTCATTAATTATCCACTCTCATGTCGTTCCAAAACCAAATCCAATTTATGTCCCTCCATGGAGAGCTACGCAACTACCACTTTGATGTTTCAAAAAGTTCATACAGAAATCATAAAACTAATCCATATGCATTTTCTGAAGAGACTCGATAGCTTTTTATGGTGAACAGATTTAATTTCGGCTTTTATTAACATAAACATTGATCGGTGCACACATCAGTAATGGAAAAGCTAGGGTTAACGGAAGATCAAGCATGTTAGCCTGATATGCGAGAACCAATGAGGTTTATTTTCGTGTTACGCAGCATGTTTGAGCTTCAGCAAGAACCAATGAGATTCATTCTTGTGTTACGTAGGACATTTGAGTTTCAATAAGAACCAACCCAGATAGCAAACTGACATTGAATCAACGTAGAAACATGACATCGAAACAACGTTGATCTGACATTGTTTTGCTCATCGAATTAACGTTGAACCAACGTCAGACGCGTCATTCTTTCAAAACTAACGGAAAATCAACTTGAAATCAACGCGTTGTTTCAACGTTATGAAAGCAAACCAATTTTCGATTTTCATTTAGCTTTGAAGAATGCCGCGTCTGACGTTGGTTCAACGTTAATTCGATGAGCAAAATCAACGTTGTTTCAATGTCATGAGAGACGTCGTTTCCACGTTGATTCAATGACAGTTTGCTGTCTGGGAATGAGATTCATTCTTGTTTTACGCAGCACGTTTGTGTTTGAGCAAGAACAAATGAGGTTCATTCTTGTGTTACGTAGGACATTTGAGCTTCAGCAAGAACCAATGAGGTTCATTCTTGTGTTACGTAGGACATTTGAGCTTCAGCAAGAACCAATGAGGTTCATTCTTGTGTTACGTAGGACATTTGAGCTTCAGCAAGAACCAATGAGGTTCATTGTTGTGTTACGCAGCACATTTGAGTTTCAATAAGAACCAATGAGGTTCATTCTTGTGTTACGCAGGACATTTGAGCTTCAGCAAGAACCAATGAGGATCATTCTTGTGTTAAACAGAACATTTGAGCTTCAGCAAGAACCAATGAGGTTCATTGTTGTGTTACGCAGCACATTTGAGTTTCAATAAGAACCAATGAGGTTCATTCTTGTGTTACGTAGGACATTTGAGCTTCAGCAAGAACCAATGAGGTTCATTCTTGTGTTACGTAGGACATTTGAGCTTCAGCAAGAACCAATGAGGATCATTCTTGTGTTACGTAGGACATTTGAGCTTCAGCAAGAACCAATGAGGATCATTCTTGTGTTACGTAGGACATTTGAGCTTCAGCAAGAACCAATGAGGTTAATTCTCGTGTTATGCAGCATGTTTGAGCTTCAGCAGGAGGTTTGTTCTTGTGCATCAAGCAGGTTTGGTTGAGCTTCTGTTTATGTTTGCTGATCAATATATAATTAAATCTGTTCATCATATAAAGAGATCGAGTCCCTTCTGAAAATTTGGACTAAACCTCTCAATTCATATGGATTAGTTTTACCACGTCTTTATGAACTTTTTGAAGCATCAAAGTGGTAGTTGCGTAGTGATTTCCTCAAAAAGATCTTAATTTGTGGTCTGGAGATGAAAGAAAGTCTTGGGGGGTTGAAACGTCAAGAGGGTGAGTAAATAATCAGAATCAGAATAACACAGAATTAGTATTTTTGGGTAAATTGTCCCTTTAAGGTAATGCAATAAAAACACACAACAGAGGAAGTGCTGCAGTTTCTAATGTTTATTTTTGATAGTAAAATCAGTAATAGAATTAGACTATCATGGTTACAAGCAGAATTGTGGTACCAACTCCGGGCTGATACAATGCAGTGACAATTAAGGATAATACAAAAAATTTAAATCAAATAATAAGAGGCACAAGAACACAAACAGACACATTTTGAAGATCAATCACAACTGCTTATAAGCCTACTTCACGTCTGTACACTAACAAGGCTCGATAAACCAAGCTGTTCTCCAACTAGTTGTGCCGAAAAAAACAAAAGAAACAAAAGTCAAAGAAAAGGTCAAAACCCAGCACAACACTGAAACATAAATAGAACAACTGTCAAGATATTGAATTTGAACAGGCATATATGTGAACTACAAATATAGACATTGCTAATAGGATCAAGTAACTGTTAGTTTCAGTAGGATACACTTCTGCGAAGATTTGCTTTTGAATATCACCAAGAGATCTATGACAGAGCACTTAGCAATGAAATACAGCCTTCCTACTATGACTGGATCAAACAAACAAAACAGAAAAAATCTAACAAAAAAAAAAAAAAAAGGAGAAAGAGATATTACACTTGGGGAGTACACACACAATACTAGCTACTTAAAGATCCCATGCTAAATTATCAAGTAGAATACCATACAACATTAGAAGCACAAGTTCACGTATTGTGTTTTATTTATTTTTTATCTTCGTTCTTTCTCAAAGAACTGACACTTCATGTCAGTCGTTGTTAAATTGAATGTTGTATGGATTTTCAGAACTAAAGAAACGAAAGCTATCTAAATAAAAAAGCTTTTGGTGGCCCTGGCTAAGTTTTCGCAAACCCGCTTCCAATGTTGAAGGTCAATTTAGTACTTTGATGCAAATTTGGCAAAGGTCGGAAGGGAATGTAAATCACTGCAGCTTAATTGCGTAGAAAAGTCAGGTGCGAGCATTCGTCATTGACCTTTTTGGTAACGTTGGTTTTAGAGTCCATTAGGGATTCGAGTGTGTCCGGTGCACGTCAGTGCGAGGGATCTGGGCCGTACGGTCCAAGTGACCCTACTAGCTCTCCGTGTCTTCCTCAACAGAAACAAACAAACAAACAAACAATCAAAATTAGCTATCACCGCTACATTATCACGGCCCTTTTCCCGCTCGACCACTGGTTCGGTCCAAGTCCAATATGAGCGCCCAGTATGGGGTCAGGTCTTGGCACAGCTGTTGCAGTGGCTTGAGCAGATGTCGTAAGAGCAACTTTATTTCGGAACGGTTTTTAGCGTAAGATCGGGGATGGAGAAGAGTTCACGGACCTGACCACACATGCCAAGTCATAGCCCCGAGGGTGTTCAAGTACTTTTTTTCTTTTCTTTTTTTCTTCTTTTTTGAAATTCAGCACCATGGGTGGCGAGACAGGACTCCTACCCAATGTCCACATTTCTTTGAACCCAATAAAACGAAGAGCTTCTTTCCTCCTTTTGGGAGCCACGCAGCAGAAACCACCAAAAGAAGACTCAACTTTTCTCTGAGGGAGTGACTGAGTGCAAGGAAAGCGTCCCGACCGCAACGAAAGATATCCACCGAGACTTCCCGCCCTCCAACGTCTTTGAGTTCCACCACAGGTCGATCTAGGCCGAGCAATGCGCACCTCGGCTTGTGTCGTCTTTGTGTTTGTGGAAAACCTCGATTCTGTTCAATGGAGAACAAACTGCTGAAGGCCATATTTCTGTTGGTTAGTGAATGACTCTGCTCCAAGTTGTAGCCGGCAATCTGAGGAACAGAAGATCCAGAAGAATCGGGAGGCACAATAATCTTGAGCATTGGTGAGGGGACACAATAACAAGGTTGTACATTGTCCTTCCACTCCGAGGGCTTCCAACTACGCAAGTCGAACGTATAAAAGTTACAATGTATGACTGGATTAACCAACTCCTACCAAATCAAGACAAGGTCAAAACAAAGGCAGAGACAATTAAAACTTGCACCAGAACCTAAACGGAAGAAATCTCACATGGTTTATATGATATAAACATTTAAAAAAACAAACAAAACACAATGAGTCTATGATTGCAGCACTCTTTGGATAGTCTCTCAACCAAAACATACGGGACAAAGTCTTTACGCTTAATATTACTGGACTCCACTGAAGGAAGACTACATTCATCTTTCAATGAAAACTGTAAGAGGGCAAAGCAGCAACAGTTCTCCTCTGAAGCAAGCTTACTGCTAGACGCAGCAGGAAAACAAACCAAAAAAAAAGAAGGAGAGAGAGAATTTCAGAGGAATCTTGTGATTTAATTCTTGGCATTATGGGCAAAATCTCATTTTCGTAAAAAAAGTCAATAGATCAAGTTTGGAGTTTCTGAATAAGGCACCTGATTTTGCAGGCAACATTTCAAAAATAACATCGTAAATTCTGTAAAACCAAGTGCAATGCGGGTCTCTTTTCAGCTCGCGAGCCGAGTGCGATGGAGGTGTGAAGCGTCCGAGTTTCTTTTCCCCATTTGTGCTCATTGGTTACAACAAAGACCGTCGCTCGCAAAAGCTCCATGGATATTATCAATTTAGCAAGGTTAGCATGCGCAAACAAAGGGATCACATTTACGAGCAGCCGGAGTCATGATATGTAGGAATGCATGCTCGAGTTCTGCCGCTAAACCTTCAAGCGCTATTACGCGAGCCTGAAGGTCGGTCTACTTTTGAAGAACACACGAAAACACAAGATACAGAGTAACAAAATGCACAGGATGGTAAAACGATTCATCAAGGTCCATTAAAAAGGAAAGCAAAACAACAACAACAAAAAAAGCAAAACATTCAATAGGTTAAATACATTGGAAAGAGCATGTTTATTTAGCAACAATAAGACAGGCCGCCTTCCGTGAAATGCTAGTTCTCAGCTTAGTCACCATGTTGTTCACCATCGATAACTAACTCACAATACCCATGAATCAGATACAATTGTTAAAAAAAAATAAAAAATACAAGTGCTGTAAACAAAGCATCATCCTGTCTTTCTACAGAGGAAAACCTGCATAGTGCACCAATAGGAGTAATCTTTCTTATATATATATATATATATGTATAGCGAACACATCTACACAAATCATTGAAAAGGAAAGGTGTAGATGCTTGTTTGAATGCTCTTGAGTATATACTGTAGCCATTTTAGAAGAATCCAATGTGAATTACCCAAATGCGTTTGATGAATCCGCGGTATAAAGATAGTGGCGTGAGATCCATCTCTTGATAAATAATTGTCATCATATAAAACCCATTGCTCGTAGCTTGAATGTAACAGGGAATGATTCACTATACAATTTTACAACGTGATTTAGCAGCTTTGCGTCCAGAATTATTGAATCATCAACAATATGCAGACAATGAAAACAATCAATCAATCAAATTGAAAATAGCTAGCTTACTCTTTTTTTGTCTTCTTTTTTTTTTAGGATAAATTAGGAATATATCACGGTACGGTCGATTTCTAATAAAATTCGGCAAAAAACAAACAAACAAGCAAAATAAAGCAAATCACGCAAATCGAAACAGAAAGCTACATTATTTCCCTTTAAAAAAAAATAATATGACGCTAAATGTCTGACTATGCAAGAAACGTATTAAATGCTGTATAAACAGTGACTTATTATTATTTTTTTGTTGTTTTTTTAAATGTATTCAATGCATATATCTGTTTTTGAAGGCAGAAGTAATTTCCCCAAGATTATAAAATAAACAATTCATATGAATGTTAATCACGCTATGAAACAAAACAAACACATACAAATGTGTGCGTGTATATGTGTATGTGTTCCTTAAATATCTTTTCTTTATATAAAAAGCTTATCAGCAACAACAAAAAAGAAAGAAAAAAGAAAGAAATATAAAATACTGGCTTTAAAATAGCAACCTTTTCCTGTTTGAATGCCACAGAGTCCCCTGGTTAAAACACTAACGGCACAGCTCACGACATCACGGCGAATGCGAGAGCTCGCGACAGCAAAACTACAATCTCCGCCAGCAGGAGCACGACATCTCCGTCTCCGTTCGCTCATTGTCACTTGCCATCAAGCTCATTGTACAGGACAATCGTTATCATTTAGAGCTAATGACTTGGCACAAGAAAGGCCAGTCTTGTTCGCCATAACAAATGGCTTTTCTATCTTTTGAGAATAGATGGGCTCTTAAAGAGAACGTCAAATATATAAACTAAAACAAAATAAAAGACTAGTCCAATTGATTCCCCATGGCAAATGGAACTGCCTTACAGTACAGCGATATTATATATATATATTATATTTTTCTGAGCTCCTTTCTCAGATTTCCCTCCGTATTTAAAAAAATTACTTAAAAAAAAAAAAAATCAATGACAACAATACCTATCTCTGGCCAGAGAGAATGTCAACACTGTACATCGACCTGAAGAAAAATTCAAAGCAGAATTTGTATTTTTCCATAGGAAATGTCTACTGAAGGCAAATGAAGATTGTGACGTCCGAGACCTCACTGCTCAACGAGACGCACACCGACCGATGTCTGTCTCCGTCACACTGCTCTGGTCAAGATGGCAAAAGTCAAGTACGCACCGCAGCATTCAAACGAGGTCGGTTTTTTAGCAGCAAATGGGAGGGGGAAAGCTTTTTTTTTGTCTTGTTTTGTTTTTGCTTTTAGTCTAGACAAAGTGCTTTTGCTTTCTTACATGTAATATAGAACTTATTATACATTTATAGATTTATAGATATATAATATAATATATATATTCCACATTTAGATTAAATCTAAATTCCTTTCTATGTACAAAAAAAAAAAAAAAGAGAAAAAAGTTACAACACATCATGGACGGTATATAGAATATTTACTATGCTACCAAAAGTAAATACAGAAAAATAGCTTTTACAAAACTCTTTCTACCAGTTTAGATTTTAAAAGGAAAAAATATTCTCCCTTCTTTGATCAAAATGATATTTGAGCAACATCCTTCAGCATAAAGTCACTTTTAAAAGGCCTTTGGAAGAGATTTGAACAAATTTGCAGCAGCTTGAGATCACGGTGGCCGAAACTTTCCGCTCCGATTCTCATTTAGTCAAATTTTTTTTCTTGGGGTTAAAAATAACCTGGACTTTTTATCATGAGATTCAATCGGAAAAGTACGTACAAGTGACTGATTGTGTGAACGATTTGTCTGATTTTCCTTTCAAAAACATTTCAGAATGTGGCCAGCGAGGAGAGCAAAGATAAAGGCAATCTCTACAAAAATATACGCAATTACATTTCTCAAACAACAAGAGTAAGAATGTTTCATGCTGAGTCACTCATCAGTTCAGAAGGAGGCATCTTAATATTGACTAATGCGTATACAAACTATAAACAAAGACTTTTGTGTGTTATTTTTGTGTCTCTACAACTACAGGAAGAATAGCGATCTTCCTACGGGCACGTCTCGATTAACTTTATAGCTCGTCTTTCAAATACGCAACGAATCTTCGTGGAGCGTTTCAAAGAAAGAAAAAAAAAAAAGAACAGTACAAAATTGTACAAAACGAGGATGCAAATGAACGCTTCTTTCTGCAGAGAATTGGACCCAAGCGAATTTCACAGTTCATTAGAAATCCCTGACCCTACCATTTTTCCTACATTCAATACGGTGTCAGGTAAAGCTGTGCAAAACCTTACTTAGACTGGCTAGTTGCCATTTTAAGTTGCATGTGTCTTTGGTACAAAAAACAAAACAATCAAAATATAGTGTGCAAACATCATTTTTGTATTTTATATGTGAATATTTCTTATAGTACGACACCGGCGCCCACCCCCCCGTCCCCTCTTAAAACGAAGTACCGAAAAAAGACTTTTGCCAGAGCCATCTTTTGATACAAAGCACAGACTCTGTGGCATATATAATCTCCATGTTCCTATGTACATTCAGAGTATCTTCAAAGAGCTCTCGCTCTCGGCAAAATGGTCCATTTGCGCTCTCTCCTCAACTCCGCGATTACAAGGCACAATGAATCTTACTTATATATAAAGTACAAATATAAACAAAACCCAATCTGGGAATCAACTTTGTAAGCCCCTTTCGCTGAGAATTCGCAAAACAACAATCAAGGGTGGATTGACGCGAGGGCACTTCAACCAAAGTGTAGAAAGGAAAAGGTTTCACCAGTGGATAATTAATCATCCCGCCTATTTACAATAAGGGGTTTAACTGACCATCTTCTCAAGTCAAAGAAAGAGAACGAAAAAGAAAAACACACACTCTTTTCTCTTTCTCTCCAACCTGAGACGATCGCAAATGTGTGGGGAATGGGCGTCCGAGGCCCGTTTCCTCACCTCCCTATCCTACATATGTACACCGAACTTCAGTAACGTTGCACTACTCTTCGTCGAACGTCAGTTTTTGCGTTCTTCGGCGCTTCCCTCGGCATCTCGGGTGTGGAATCGTTCATGCCGTGTTCGAAAGCTCGGGAAGTCTGCGTTTACGCCTTTTTTGTTTTTTTTTCCGTCGACCGCTAAATCAAAGGAGCTAATGCCTTCGTAGTTTCTCTTTCAAAACTCTTTATGGGCATTGGACAGATTTAGCTGGATGCAAGAGGAAAATGGCTACAGCAAAGACTGGTGCTAATTTAGCTTTTTTTCTCTCTCTTTTTCTCGATTGTAGGAGGTATCTCATATATTGGCTTTTAATAATCGCAACATGGCGGCCTGTTGATTGATACCAGCCACATGCACACATGGTAGGAAACAGACTACTGAGTGCAAAGTTTAACTACTATAGTTTCATTTCCATTGGTGTGCAAGTGGTGAATATATACATACGTTTGCACAGACAGGCGGGTACCGTATGCATGTATTCACTTAAAATGTGAGGGTGCGTCTCCAAGTGAAATGGACATGCAGAGTGTTGGGCCGATACAGTGTGGGACAATAATGGCGCGGATGGCTTCATGTGTGCTCCGAGGTTTACACTTTCGACGTGGGCACACGCAACCCCACCAGCCCTCCGGTGGGATCTCCTTTCCCAGTGTTCTCCAGGATCTGATTCACGAAGTCTGAAGTCTGGCTGGCCACTGGTGGCTTCACTGCATGAACAAAGAAAAGCTATTACTTCTTTTTTTTCTTTTTTTTTCAATAAGAGTCTGTAAACATAATATTGAACAGTTCCATTAAGACGAGTGCACAGAAAATACACTAATATTGCCACCTTAGGGATGAGTCTACATCTTTTTCAAACCAGGAATTAAAGTTTACCGTTTTTCAGCAAATTGTCATGGGTGAAATCCAGCCATTTCAATAGGAATCCAGGGCGGAAGATTTCCCCACACAGATTTCGTTCAAGTTGGTCGCGCGAATTCGCCACGTTGATAAACAGAAAGATGCTTGGTTTGAAAGTGGCTTATGTGTGAGCTGTGCTTCATACATCGCTACACTAGTAATGGAAAATTGACTTGTTTTGCCCTGTGAAATTTCAATTTTCAATTGAGGTTGTATAAACACTTCTATAAAAAGGGAACTCACTTTCTAAAAACTTTATCAACATTGTCGAAAGTGTCCCAGCCTTGGGTGACAAGTTCATTTTGCCGTGTGGTTTCAGTTTGGCCCGGTTAAAACGTTCGTCTTGTGTTCTTTTAAAGTTTATTTGTTATGTGCGACAACAGTAGGATGAGGGTAAGTTTTTTGGCGTTGTGATCCCCACCAAAAAGCGAACGGAGCAAAGCAAAGTGGAGGCTAAATGTGGGATAACAGCTGTTGTTACTAGTGTGCTTGAGGAAAACTTGAAGACAGCTTGTGCAAGATCACACATAATTAGCATATGCGAAGTCAATGCTAAATGCCCTTTTACAGGTGTTGATAATGTGCATTTTCTTACCTAGGGTATCATCAATGAGTTTATCCAACTTCTCCGTCATGCTTGTTTCTTTGTCATTTGAGATATCCTGAACTCTGATGACTATCTCTTCTTTGATTGCGTTGATCACAAACAGCAAACGATCTGCAAAAGAGAAGATAATCATATCTTTGTTTAACTCTTGGCATACATGGATGCATTTGCAAAACTTAGGGTAAGCAAGGTGGTTACACTCAATCTGGGGTGTGTTTCCAGTACAACAATGTAATTCGCTGCTTAACTACCATAGAACAATGCGTTAGCTAGTCGCGATTGTTTCCCGAATACGGTTAATGCAGGTGGTAGAGTAATAACTTCATTTAATTCATCCATTTGACATCAAATTAATACATTTTTTATGCTGTAAGTTGCAGACAAACTTATTCTCATTTTTCTCACTTATTTTGGTTTATTTCCAGATTCAATCATAGGCTCGCACATGCGCATTCTTCAAAAACGGTGCTTTGTATCTCTTGACAAACTAAGGCCCCGTCCACACTACTGCGTTTTCGTTTAAACACGGAGACCTTTTACTACATTTGCACCTTGTGATGCTGTTTGCGAATGTTCATTGGATCTATGGTTGAACGACGCTGATAAGGTCGGATGGAACTTGCGACCATAGTTGGCTAACAATGCTTTTGGGAAATGCACCACTGGTTAGCAAATAATAAAACAATACTGCGTCAGACGCGAGTGATTTCAATGTTAAAGGGTTAGTTCACCCAAAAAAGAAAACTAAGTCATTAATTACTCACCCCCATGCTGTACCAACCCCGTAAGACCTTCGTTTAGGGATGCACCGATATGAAAATTCTGGCCGATATCGATAATTCTTTATATTTGAAAGCCGATAACCGATATATCGGCCGATAAATTTAAATCCAAATTTTTATCTAATTTTGAGAGCCTGATTACAAAAACAAAAGTCTCACAATTAAATCCATGTCTCAAGCGCACGATTATAATGATGTTCTCATTATAGTGTTGTATAGCCGATATGACAGATTTGCGCTGCACATGTTGTACCGAACCATATTTTAATTTTTAAAAATCTCTTTTTAAAGAGATTTCAATAATATTTCAAGAAAATCCAAAACATAAACAGTGCTCAACAAGTGTCTCAGCTGAAGGGAATAATACATTATTTATCGGCTATTAATATATCGGCCACATTTTCTTACTAGGCCGATAACGATAACATTAAAAATGAACATATATCGGCCGATACCGATATGCTGGCCGACATATCGTGCATCCCTACCTTCGTTCATCTTCGGAACACAAATGAAGATATTTTTGATTAAATTTGAGAGCTGGATCACTACCACATAGGGAATGACACTTGACGGCCCAGAAAGTCAATGAAGAAAATGTTTAAATATTCCATGTGACTACAGTGGCTCAACTATAAGTTTATCAAGCGACGAGAATACTTTTTGTGCGAAAAAACAAAAAAAATAACGACTTTATTCGAAGTCTCGTTTCAGGCCAACAAGGAAGAAAAGGAATAGTTGAATAAAGTCGTTATTTTTTTTTGGTTTTTTTCGCACAAAAAGTATTCTCGTCGCTTGATAAACTCATAGTTGAGCCACTGTAGTCACATGGAATATTTAAACATTTTCTTCATTGACTTTCTGGGCCGTCAAGTGTCATTCCCTTAGATATCAAAAATATCTTCATTTGTGTTCCAAAGATGAACGAAGGTCTTACGGGGTTGGTACAGCATGGGGGTGAGTAATTAATGACTTAATTTTCATTTTTGGGTGAACTAACCCTTTTAGTCAATGCAAAGATGCGTTACGCGCGTAAAAATTCCTGCGGCGCGGTAGACGCGAATACGCCTTAATACAAATTGAGCGTCTGGCGCGTTAACCGCATTACGTGCGAATGATTTAGTTAGTGCTATTTGTGCATTCACGCGTTTGACACGAATTCGCGCCTGCCGCCCGAGTTGAAAAATCTGAACTTTGGCGTCAATTCACGCCGCGTTAACCAATCAGGAGCCTAGCTGCTTGCTGCCGTCACGTGGTGAAGTATCTGAATGCTTCAATAAATTATTTTGTAATATGACTAAATGTCTGGTGTGGTTCTAATGCACAACAAAGCAAATATTTTATCACTTAAAACTTTATTTTATTATACGAGATCCGAGATCCAGGAGCGAGCAAATGGTTCACCTCCGAAGGGTCCGGTGGACAGAAATATGGCGACGATGATCCCCATGCTGCTGTTCTGCTCTCCAGAGCAAATAAGAGCGGTGATTCTCTCGATGAATGCTCGATCAACATAAAAAAGATGGCCGCCAACGGTTTGATTCCGACGCGCGTGATGTGCGTAAATTTTGCTTCAAACTTTTGTTTTTATGCGCGTCAGTTTCACTTTTGATGCGCGAATTAACACAAAGTGGTCAAGCGTCAAACTAGACGTGGTAGACGCGAATTTGACGCGCCATTCGCGTCCGGTGTGAAAGCACAGTTAGAAACTTCATTTAATATTTATTAAATGTCAAAACATACCGTATTCAGTTCCAAGGCCCCATAACTTGACTTTGTTGGCTTCATACTGAGCTTTTTTCTTCAGCCTGCAGGCCCTGGTGGAGAAAACAACCAAAAGGAAGAATCAAGAATTGCCATTTCATCTGCATATACTAATACAAATTTTCCATCTTCATTAATAGAGGTATTCAAGTTTTTATGGTGCACTGTAATTTAGCATTTTATTAACTAACCATCCATCCACTACACAGTTTGACCAGTCTATCTATGCTGGTATTGCGTTGCATAAGAATACATTTAAGAGAAGTCAGTGGGGTGTTGGCTTTGAGAAATGAAAGCACTAGTCGTAGTTCACATAGCAAGGCTTTACCTGGATGCGAGCTTGTTCTTCTCCTTGCGAGATCGAGGCCGAGCGGTTAGTGGTAATTCACTAACGGGCGTCAGGTCACTTATAACTTTATTGAGCTTCCGGAGTTCATTGCCAATCTGAAGCAGCTTTCGTGGGTTTGGAGTGAGATCTTCCACATCCGTCCGGCGTGATTTTTTCAATGCGTATTTTCCTAAACAAGTCGGTCAAGCATGAGATGTATCATGAACTGAATAGCCACTTTTTTGGTCTATGAATGTAAAGAAGGGACCAATTAGAAGGCCAGTAAATATCTCACCATGGTGCAGGCCATTCTTTTGGTACATGTTGCTGGGAAGAGTTTCTCTGTCCCATTCGGAGGGTTTCAGCATGCGCTCCTGTTTGGATGGGATGAGCTGCTCACTATACTCCCAAAAATATCGACGCTTTCCCCTCTTCCTGGAAATCCCAGCAGTCAGGCCTTTGACATCATCAACCATATCGGTGTCACACCCTGTTTAAAAGAGATTGTAATGAGAGGAAGAAAGAAACGAGAGATAGAATCACTTCAATCTAGCAAATGAAAACTGATAATTCTCATAATTTTTTGGAAAAATACGAGTACTGATACTTCTGTTTTGGCATTTGCTGTTACGTATACCTGTATTTCAGTAATGCTACAAATTTCGAGGACAGTCCAGCGAGACTGATGATTCATATTTTCACAGCAAACTACAGTATCGTTATGCAATAGGTGGAATTACAATGTTTGCAACACTTCTGTGTTGTTGAGAACAACCTGAAAAGAAGCTTCATTTAGTTTGAGCTGACGAGCTAAAAGACGTTGGAAAAAGGTTGCAGTGAGTGGCGTTTCCAAAAAAAAGTCAGGTGGAAATTTGGGTCTCTTCGGTTTCCAACAGGATTGGTGGATGAGGACACATTTAGGGTTTGACACAAATTATGACAATCCAACAATCAATCCCTATCTGAAAGATTTCAGGCTTCTTAACAAGAGTCACTTTGTTCGCCAACGCATCATCCAAACCCTAAAAAGAGCTATAATTAATCATATAATGAGGTCAAGAGCGTAAGTAAACCATACGTATCATTTTAAAATAACAAATTATAATAAATAGATAATTACAGACACGTGTACGTGGCTATCTAAATGGAGACTTCCCATAGACATCAAATATGTTAAACAGACACTGACATGTGCTTGCTTGACACACCTGTGAGCTAAATTAAATCTGTTCATCTTAAAGCGATCCCTTCAGAAGACGTGGATTAAACCAATCCAATCAGATGGATAATTTTTCCGATTTCTTTATGGACTTCTTGAAAAGTTTTGGTGGAATGGACTTTGAATCGAGGGACAGAAAGCACTCACAGATGTGATTGCAACACATGAACCAAAGTCCTATGGGTTTGGGTGAACAACTAGGGACAGTATTTTCATTATTGGGTCAACTATCCCTTTAAGTAGGTACACAAACAGACACACACATTATTGCAAAATGCTTAAATGATTAGCTCCATAATACCACTCACAAAAAGATTTGTGCCTTTAAGAACCGTCCAAACGCGCGGCGTAACGCCAAGGTCATGAGTTCGATTCCCAGGGAAAGCAAGAACTGATAAAATGTGTACCTTGAAAGCAATAAGTCACTTTGAATAAAACCATCTGCCAAATGCATACATGTAAATGTATTGGGTAAGATCAACTGTTACTTTCACTTCCCTTGGGTTATCTTCACACAACCTTACGATGCACTTTCCAAGTATCGAAGTCATAAAACGAACTTCCCAATTCTAATTGAGAGCGATGACATTCTAGGAGAACCAACGTGATACAGACTTAGTCGGATTAGATGCCACACTAAATTTAACGTGGATGCAAACAAGGAAGTGAGGAATAGACTTACAGTCTTTACAATGTCAAGCACCGTATAAAAGTCCTAGATCAGTTCATTTTCACATTAACAACTTTCAAATTGGTTTTATGGAGTTTTGGCCATTGAAAGTTTTGTTTGTCCACGAAAAGACATTCGTCAGCTGTTAACAGTGCAATCCATTGAACGCACTGTACTTCAACCTCACAGCCTCGTTTACATTCCTGTCAAAACTCAAATATGACGCTGCCCTGATTAAAGGAGTGATAACCTGATAACTTACTCACCCCCATGTCATCCAAGATGTCCACGTCAGTCTTTCTTCAGTCAAAGGAAATTAAGGTTTTTGATGAAAACATTCCAGGATTTTTCTCCATATAATGGACTTTAATGGTTCAGTGCAGCTTCAAATGGCTTTAAACGATTCCAGACGATGAATAAGGGTCTTATCTAGCGAAATGATCGGTCTTTTCCAAAATAAAAACAAAAAAACAAAGTTTAAGTTTTATAAGCAGAAATGCTCACCTTGCTTTGTTCTGCACTCTTAGAAGAAAAGGTTCTATATAGAACCTTAAAAGGTTCTAAAGCGCTACGTAATTGGAACCCCTAAAATGCAATGCATGTGAATGATCACAAAATTCAAGATATGGTGGTTAAAAAATGTAATTAATCAATATCACACGAAGAGTGCCTTTTCAGTTTCTATCCTCCAAAAATCTGCATGATTAAAATGTGATATTAAGTTACTACAACAGTTTACTAAAACTACAAAATTTTGCAGAATAATGTAATATATGAATGAATAATAGCCTTTAAAGAACCTTTGTGCCAAAAGTGTTCTTTCTTGTCATTATTGAACCTTTTTTAGCATAAAATGTTCCCTATGCTTCATATCTTTTTTCTAAGAGTGTGTGATGCGCGTTTGTGACTCTCCTGTTCGAACTCGTTCATCAAAATAGGAGAGTCACAACAGAGCAAGGCGACCATTTGTGCTTATAAAACTTAGTCTTTGTTTTTTTTAATGGCCGATCGTTTCGCTTGGTAAGACCCTTATTCATCGTCTGGTGTCGTTTAAAGCCCTTTGAGGCTGCACTGAAACTCATTTGGACCTTGAACCATTTGGTTCCCAACGAAGTCCATTATATGGAGAAAATCCTGGAATGTTTTCATCAAAAACCTTAATTTCTTTTCGACTGAAGAAAGAAAGACGTGGACATCTTGGATGACATGGGGGTGAGTAAATTATCAGCAAAAGTTTTTTTAAAAGTGAACAATCTGGCTCTTCCCGCTCACTTAGTTTTTAAGTGTGTACTCGCTTGGTGGCGTAAGCCCTAATTGGGTTCTGAATTGAAACGACATTGTATGAACAGAGCATACAGCACATGAGCAACAGCATCAGATCTGTATCAATACCAGTATGTTTTTATGCATTTGGTTAAAACAGCATCAAAAAAAAAAAAAGCAAAACGTAGTTTCGCACCTGGCTCTGAGAATGCATCACTAACGTAGTCATCTTTGTCGCCTTCATAGTCCTCATCTTCCTCCTCCTCCTCTTCCTCTTCATTCTCTGAGAGCTCGTGTTCACTGCCGAACCCTTCGTCATGGTCTTCATCATCTAGGTCCAGTCCCTCTGCCTCTTCTGCCTCTTCAGCCTCTTCCTCCTCTTCCTCTTCTTCACCTTCTTCCTCCTCCTCCTCCTCTTCCTCCTCCTCTTCTTCCATGTCAACAGAGGCCTTTGCTGCCAGTCTGGCCCTGGTTAAGAACAGCGAGTAGTTGTGCTCTTCCTCCTTCTTTTTGTCCGCGGCGGACGTGTCGGATCCGAGGGCGCTGGTTTCACCTCCGGCGGCGGCGGGGAAGTGGACTTTGTGTGGCACCGCCCTCAGCGTCGCTACTTCAGGACCAGCAGGACTGCGTGGTACCTCACGTTTCGGAGTCTCAACGCTCTTCTCACAGATAATGGAGGATGCGATGTTAGCGGCAATGGCTGTATCCTCACAGACCATTGAAGCTGTCGACTCCTGCTCCTCGGTTTGAGGGACGGTGGAAACACTAACCTGCTGGGTAGAGCTACCGACTAAAGGCTTGCGTGGCACGCTGATGCGCACCTTGGCTTTGCGAACGTAATCCATGTTGTCTGGAGTCCCAGGTGGAGCTTTGAACGGGCCCTGAAACAGGGCCTTGGCCATCGTGTCAGTGCTGGAGGCAACAGGACAGGTCGCTTTCTGGGATCCCTCGGCGAAGTCCGCCAGAGGGTTGCGACTCAACGAGGCGCTGGTCGCAGAGTTGCTGAGTCTGTTGGCGTTCTTCGCCATGGTGGAAGGTGGAAACAAAAGCTGCTTTTGACCCACCAACAAGTCCGGATGGTAAAGAGTGTCGCAAACTGGCTGTGAGTCTTCACTGTTGAGCTGGGCAAGGGTAGGCGTCCGACCTATCACCTCCTCGTCCTGGTAAGGGCTGGAAAAGTCATCAAGGCCCAAGAAATCAACTTCTTTGGTGCCCCAGATATCGCAACTGGTGAGGCGGGTGTACTTCGTCAAGTCCTCCCAGTACGTGTCCCACTGCTCAAAGTTTGAGCTATAAGCGGGGTCGTTGTCCGCCAGCTCAGGTAGATGATCCATAATGTCCATGTCCTTGCAGTCCCCTACTGTGAAAATGTCTCCTCTAGGGCTCTGGCGGCAAGTCATGTCCCGATCCTGCGAACATTAAAAATGTCACTTCTTTTATACGGCACACTAAAGAAACTGGCGGGCTTTTAACACGTGAAAATAATAATCCATTGTCATTTACATAACCCTTTGGAAATCTTCTTGCATGTCTAAACTTCACCTTGGGTTTGTAATTAATGTAGTCAGGTTTCAACTTTTCACACTGTTCTTTCGTAAGCCCTGGGTTAACATTCTTGAGGTTAGTAACTTTCACCGCACAAGTACACGATGCAACCTGGTTTAATAACTGCTTATCCCTTTGTGAAAATGTCACCACGACTACTTCTGGCAGTTTTCTGAAACTCTACACAAACGTAATGCAGTCAATTAGTCACTCGATGTTCATAAAGTTATGACTTCCATTGCATGAACTGTAAATTACAGCCATTTGGACATTACTTTTTGCCAGAGAATGAGCTCCCCCGATGATTTTGAGGTTTTTCTCCACTACCTATTTTTTTTCCTTGACACGGTCACCTCTGGCTTGTTGACTGTAACATTTTGCATTTTCTGTAAAGCTGGTTTGAAATGATTTGTATTGGGAATGGCTCTATACAAATAAATATGAAAAATGTAACTGAGCAATGGGTAATCAAATCTTCAAATTTAATACAACAATTTTTGTTAAATACACAGTTCACATGGCCCATCAATCTTCAAAAAGAGCCCCAAGATGACTTAAATAACCTTTTTTTCTTTGAAAAACCAGGGTTCCCAACTTGAATATCTTTAGATAGCATAGTTAAAACAAATTTAGCACTGGATCATGTAAATTCGCTAGTGTGGCCACAGATGGAGAGTAGATTTCAACGTTTCAGACAAAGCGCAGCCATGTTGTACTAGTTTGTTTCCTCTTTTTAATTAAGTGAAATTGTGGCCATGATTTAACTAAAGCAAGGGAACAAATCAATACAACTTTTTTGTTTTTTTTTTCTCTGCTGCAAGTTATGTGTAGGGCCTGTAATGTGAAAATAAATAAAACTGTGGGTATTGAGGGTACTGTGGGTTACTCACCAGTTCATACATGAAATCTGGGTCAGAATTGTTGGCCAACAGGTCTGTACTGGTCAGTGCCTGGTCAGCAAAAGAGCAGTTTTGAAATGCATCCCCAAAGGGAGGTTCCATACCGCTAATGCTGGGCTGTAAGATGAAAAGAGGCATATTTAACACCTCAATTTGAATGTTTACATTTTGATACCAAATTTGATCAACAGGGACTATACCTGAGGCATTGCCAAGCACAGATTCTCAGTTCCTTGAAGGAAACTTTTATGCAGCCTTATGTCTTTAATCTTCCTCACTTTTGGTCAATCTCTGGATGAAAATTAAATTTTAAGGATAAAAAAAAGCAAAAGTAACTAAAGTAGAAGGAATTCTTGTTTTGAATATGAAGGATTTATCAGTATTGCTGAGTTGTCCTCCTCAGTTGACGGTTGTCTGTGGAAATAAAACAGAACAGGAGAGAGGTTAGCTTGCACGATTATTACAATAACACACATTATCAGTGTACAATACAGGGCACTAAGCCTGCGCAGTCTGGTCTATAAACAAAATGTCACTTACAAGCTTACACTAACAACACAAAAACAACTGTGTGCTGACATTAGAACAGCAGCAGCAGACAGGTACGTCTCATAGGCATCAATGCTTTTTGCATCTGCAAACATCCGCAGAAAACATTGTGGTTTTTGTATGGTCATGGTCGAAAAAGTTAGGGAGGTTGCCTGAGATCCATGGATGAAGAGAAGGGCGCCCTAAATCATATCAGTTTGATGGGATGCATCGAACACAATGGCTATTTTTAAAACGACGTCAGCGGTACCCTTTCCCCTAGACTCGCAGACAGCCATAGGCAGTGAGACCCGAAACGCTGGACGCTCTTTGCATAACAAATCAACAGAAATATGCCAGAGCATGTGAGGCTAGTGCTGGCCAGCTTCAACGTTGAGCAAAACAATCCTGTCTCTCTTGTGCTTGATGACATCATTTCCTCCTGGAGCACCGAGCAAGTCAAATAAGCGTCTTATCACCCTTTGGCTTCGTGGACGGCAGGGTTTGCATACAGCCAACAGAAGCAGAGTGAGAAAAATATTTCCTTAGTCCTTCACTATTCTACTGCATACTCACTGATTCACACTTTCTGAGTTTTGACCGATTTGTAGGGTGTTCTGGTTGGGTTTTTTTTTTGCACGTTGCTATGAGGTTGCTAGTGTGCTTGGTAGTTTCTAGGGCATCGCCACACAATTTGAGGTGTCATTCTTTTTCCTAGTCCAAAATGAGTGTTCACAATGACAGCAGCAAAGCGACCTGCAGTAAGTCATTTTCAGCGACTGAGTGAGTGTAACCACTGACAACATGGTGTGGGAATTTACCTTTTAAATTTAACTTCATGCAAACGAACTACCAAATGAAGTGACTTCAGTAGAGCTCATATGCCCATGTCTCCAACGAGATACTGTATTTGAGTACCAGCAAGTTCATGTTACTAAAAAAATAAGTACGATAAAACATATCAAGTTTCATTAAACCATTGATAATTGTTCATCTTGTTCATGATATGAGAATACACACCATTGTATACGAATACAAAAGTGTTTCTTCGTATAGCTCATTTTTAGCAAAAAGACAGCTGTCCCTCGTTTCGAAAATACCTACTTCCCTAATATAGAGTAAGCAAAAAGAGTACATAAATGGAGTAGTATCTCCGAATTCATATGGTGTATTCAAGTCACGTCAGAGATTGTGTATACACACTGGATCCATATTAACGGAAAAGCCATCATGATAACGTAATTATGAGCGGGAAACTGTCAATTTTCTTTGAGAACATTGTGTTTCCAAGGTGGTGGTTGGGGGAGGGTGTCATTGAGAAAACTTTTTTTTTTAAGAAAAGGTACATCCCCATCTCTGACTAAAGCAACTTGAAAGCTACAAAACCTAATGCCGTAATTCACCTTTGGCTAAGCCCCGCCCCCCTTAGTTACTGTTGCTACATCCGTCAAACTTCATCTGCATGGCTGCATGGCTTATGCTGTAACAGCTCTTCCTGCTGAAATGTTATCAAACTTTTATAAAGCAGCAAATAAAGTGTCCGATAGAAGTAGGCAAAAGGGGCTGCAATATGCGTTCGAAGGCTACCCAGATAGCAAACTGACATTGAATCAACGTGGAAATATGACATTGAAACAACGTTGATCTGACATAGTTTTGCTCATCGAATTAACGTTGAACCAACGTCAGACTCGTCATTCTTTCAAAACTAACGGAAAATCAACTTGAAATCAACGTGTTGTTTCAACGTTATGAAAGCAAACCAATTTTCGATTTTCATTTAGCTTTGAAGAATGCCGCGTCTGACGTTGGTTCAACGTTAATTCGATGAGCAAAATCAACGTTGTTTCAATGTCATGAGAGACGTCGTTTCCACGTTGATTCAATGACAGTTTGCTGTCTTGGTATATTCAATCAAGACATACAGGTGAAACGTAGAAACAACAAGGCATCCAAAATAGAGGCAAAAGCATAACGTTACCGGTCACAGTCAAAAAATGAACCACCGCATTTCCTACTAATGGAGACGGAGGCTGGGACTAACAATATCAGGGAGCAACACTGTTCATGCAAAGCTGGGTAGGTCTCTATTCACTTATATAATCGTTATTACAAAGCAAACGGACTACACGAGTATAACGTTGTATTTATTAGCAGCGTGTGCTAGCGCAGTGTTTCCCAACACTGCACATATTCTTTGTCTCCCTTATCAAACACACCTGATTCAACTCATCAGCTCATAATCAGATGGGTTAATGAGCTGATGAGTTGAATCAGGTGTGTTTGATTAGGGAGACAAAGAATATGCGCAGTGTTGGTGTGCCGCCAGGAACAGGGTTGGGAAACGCTGTGCTAGCGTATCAACAACCGGTATGAGAACCGAAATCATAACCAAAAACATTATAAAACGGTCTAACTAGTATAACTTCACACTCACAGGAAGGTTAGAAGTAAAAAAAGATGTGCTTGTTGATCTTTGCGGGGTTTAGCTGACTGAGGACGTCCACACAGTTTAATCCAAAGACGACACTTGTCAGGATTTTACTTCGGTTTTGGGAAGGGAAAAAACGGACACCCCCCTTCAACCTCTCTGGGAAACGCGTATCTGTGTTACAAATGCCCGAGGCACAACGTTTAACCATATTTTTGATAAAACTACGACGGTAATAGCCTGCCGAGACCAAAAATATGAGAAAGTCAATGGAGCGTTGTGAAAAAGTGTCGGACCTCTGTGGGAGCTCGTTCTTGGCTGCGCTGTGATTGGTCAATCAGCATTCTAGGGTGTGGCTTAGCCAAAGGTGAATTGCGACTTCCCAATTCCTTAATGCAAACTACCCAAGAGGACCTGAACGCACTAATAGGATTCATAAAACTGTACCCAAAAGTGCCAGGATGACCTACTACTTCCACCGAGATTACAGTGTGCATCTGATGGACACTTTACGATCACTTGAGGCCAGGGGAGAAGAGTTGGAAAGTTGAACTGAATTGTCGGTTCCGTTGCGTCGCGTCACAGGCGTTGCTCGTGGCAGAAGTTGAATACAGGTGTCAGCCAATCAGATCGCCTTTGCAAATACCCGTTAGCCAATTGCGTTCATGCAAGACCGGAAAAGTAATGCCATTGGCTGTTGTCACTATGACGATCACGTCAGCACCAAGTTTCAGATACGCCATCCATCAAGCATTGATGCTGATGCCCCGTTTGGGAAACACTTTGGGATTTTTGAGGTTGTCATCTAATTAGTTGAATTCTACAGGATTTCCGGGAGACGTGCGTCACATTCTTTAATGGTCCACCTGGAAACAAAGCTGTCGTGACACCAAGCCACATCTTGGAAGGTAGCAGTAGTGTTTACAACTGTAACAAGAGCGCTGTCACACAGAGCGCTTATCATGATCAACTAAACTCTAGATTTTCAAAAGTATGTGAACTTCAAAGCATACATTGACTCTTTAAAAGATGTCCAAGAGTTTTACACACTGGTCTGTTATTGTCACACCCCCTAAACACAACGCTGAACTGTGATTGGTTGCCTTACATGTCATTCAGATGGCCTCTTGTGTGGTCCTTAGCCAATGAAAGCTGCTAATGAGTTAACACTGTCTGCTGTCAGTCTGAAGGTCTGGCTACGAAAGACTATGACGAGATTCCAATCGGAAGTAAGCATCCCTATGCCCTATCCACTCCGAAAGGCAGAACATGACCATGAATGATTAAATTGCTTCCTTGAAGTGACTCACTGCACGTTCCCTTTGCTCCGAACCGGCTCTCAAAATGCTTTGGTGGAAAAGGAGGTTCTTTTGGGGAACCAAAATGGCTCTTCTAATGTATGGCATCACTGCCAAAAAAACAAAACAAAAAATCTTTAGGAACCTTAATTTGTAAGAGTGACTGAGCGAGTGATAATAATAGTGATTTGCATTGAGCTCTACCACAACAACCAACACGGACATTGGTCAAAACAAGGGCTGGGCTATCGATGGACATTATGGGGCATTTTAGTCAAGAGTGATGAGACACCTGACTTAGGAAACTGAAATGAGGAAGAGAGACAGGCTCTCTGTATGAGCAATCCTGCCATAATATGTTATCCATATCCACCTGTTGTGATATAACTCATAATATCTCAGCAAGATCACGGGAAGGAAGGCAATGCGGAGGAACATCAGACTTGCATCAAAAGTGCAGTCTCACTGAAGATATCAGCCTTTGTGTTATTTATCAAATCTAGGCCACTGCTTACCAAAGACTAATAGCAACACGTTGGATGATGTGAAAATATAGAAGGACGGATGAAAAGACAGCAGCTGATACTGATTATCCTGTGTAGTAAACAAGCATTGTTCTCATGAATACACGTCCCTCAGCGGCTGTAATGAAAGGTCTATAGGAAAGGAAATATGATCTGGGAGTGACAGACTATAGACCACAGCAAACATGATTTCAGCTTTAGAAATGATGGTGTTGGTGTTGGATTGAATACCGTTGCAGAAAAAAGTCATTTTAAAATGTTACTTGATGGAGTTTTAAATTATGGTTCATAATTTTCTAATGTTTTGAAAGAAGTCTCACCAAAGCTGCATTTTTTTTAAAGAAGTAAAAAATGTTAATATTTATATTTGAATACTTTGTAAAATGTAATTTATTCCTTTGATCAAAGCAATTTTTTTTTCTTCTTCAATGTCACATGATCCTTCAGAAATGATTGTTGCTGCTTCCACATATTTTTGTGGAAACGGTGATACATTTTTTTAAGATTATTTGATGAAAAGACATTTTATTTAAACTATATTTAAGATAAAAAAAATACAAATCTAATAATGTAACACATCTTTACTTTCACTTTTAATCAATTTAATATCTCCTTACTGGATAAAAATATTGT